CCTTGCACTTGCCAGGGAAGTGCTTATTCCACTGAGCCATCTCCCCAGTCCCTGTATTTTTTATTTTATTTTAATTTTTTTGTGGTACCAGGGATTGAATTCAGGGCCTTGCGCTTGCCAAGCAAACACTTATTCTACTGAGCTATCTCCCTGGCCCTCGTGACTCTGTAAAAACTATCATTAACACACGCAACGCAGGACACACCTGTTACCTTCCTAAAATTGCAAGCGAAAAGGGCACAGAAATAGTTTTTTTAAAAAATGTATTTGGCTGCTTGCAGGGTCTCACTGCTCAGCTCGGACTCATAGTGATCCTCCTGCCTTCAGCCTCCAGAGAGCTGGGAAACTACGGTCCCTGCACTTGCCTAAGCAGGCGGCGCTTAGTCCACTGAGCTATCTCCCTGGCCACAGAAATAGGTTTTTTATTTTTTATTGAGTACAGGTTCTACAAGGTCCCCGCTACGATCTGCCTGTGTTCAGCCTCCCAAGAGCTGGGGTTACAAGCATGCACTACCACGCCCAGTCTCAATCGCTTTCTCAGCAGGGGTGGTGGAGGCGGCGCAGGGGTGGGGGGAGGCGGCGCAGGGCTGGCACGGAAACAGTTTTTTTATTCTCAGCGGTTTACGCAGGTCCTGACAGTGCTACTACTTTTTCAAACAGTAGAAGCTAAAGAATGTTCTGGAAAAACAGAATCCAGGAACTATTGGGGGGGCGGGGAAAGGGAAATCTCGCGAGACGCAGTTTCTGCGTCCCGCGAGTGCGCGCGCTGCTGACCGTTATTTAGCCGTTAACCGCCTAGGTACGTGGTTAGTCGACGTGCCTCACGCGGCGGAGCGTGTTCTCCGCTCTTCGGAGGTTCTAAGGTAGAAGCTCTAGATTCTTTTTTTGCTGCCTTCATAAACAGCAGTTCGCTGTTGCGAACTTTTAAAGGGTAAAGGATATAGGTCATGAATTCCTTTCCCGAGGGTGGAACCCAGAAACCTGGCGACCTTGCGAAGCTCGAAGCTCGCGCTTTCAGGAACACGCGGTTACTCGGGGCGACGGAGGCGACGGGATGGAGGAGCCGCGGGCTTTCCTCCTAGGCGGGAGTTTCTGAGGCCGGCCTCGAATTTCTCGCGGGTGTCGGGTGGCGGTGGGAAGCGGGGACGTCGGGCAGTGACTGCTGCGCACTGAGACGGGAGGCGGTGCCCGGAGCCCGCCGGCGGGCTTCATTCTCCGTTCGCGGGGGATGCGGGCTCGCTTGAGTACAGAGTAAACCTTTCTAACAAAGCAATGGGCCTCGCTCTCCACCTTCTCGGTGCAGTAGAGGTTTCCAGCGAAGACGAGGACATGGAAAAACAGAAGCCATTCACGCTGTTCCTTCCGCCGCGGCTAAGCGGCAGCCAGGTGTCTGCGGTGAAGCCCCAGAGCGCGGCCCCGGAGGCGGATGCGGGCACGGGCTCTGACTTGGCCCAGGTGAGTGTGCGGGCCCCACGGGGGACGAGCTCGGCTGCAAGCATGCGTGTGAGGCGCGGGAACTTACTCGGGATGTAGTTATTTCTTAACCAGGCAATAGCATCAGCATCATTTGAATGAGTAATGAAGTAGTATTGTGGCTTCATGTATTAAAAGCGTCACTGCTGCTGTGGAACGCTGCTTATAAAGCAGAACGTGCTTGTGTGTGTGTGTGTGTGTGTGTTGGTTTTTTTTTTTTTTTTTTTTTTTGCGGAACCAGGGATTGAACTCAGGCCCTTGAGCTTGCCAGGGAAACGCTTATTCTACTGAGCCATCTCCCCGGCCCCCCTGGCCATGCTTATTTAAATCCTCTTTGGGTATTTTTTTTTTTGGGGGGGGGTCAACTCCTAAGACATATGCCGTGAAGTAATAAGATTTAATTTAGGAAAATTGAGAATATTTGGACAAATGCTTATACGTGGGTAGTGAGTGATTAGCGTGACATTTTCAGGTTTTGAGTTTCCTGGTGGATAAGCTAGGGGAAAAATTCATTTATACAGAAGTCAGATTGGAACAGAGGAGTTATATGATAGGTTCTGGCCCTAGTATGAATTGCTAAAATCATGGTAGTCATCTAATATGGCCGATGCCCTTAAAACTAAAGCCCATTTTCTCAAGACCACGTCCCCCTTCTTCTCCAACTTAGCCCAGGGCATAATTTACTTCTTGCCGCCTCAGGGAAGACATCCCCTTCAGACGCCACCCCTGGTAAAGGCCATAAAAACCTTTCCTTCTAAGTCCTTCTGCTTTTTTCTCTGCTGTGCCATGCACCCTACCATTATACCACTTCTCTCAGAACACAGCTTTTGCTACTAAATTATTTTCTCATGAAGTGCTTTATATTGGAGATAGAAATAAATATTTTCTATTTTATATCTTTTGAGGCAGGGTCTCACTATGTAGTGCAGGCTGGCCTTGAATTCGCTTATGTAGTCCACATACAGCAATCCTACCTCAGTCTTCTGAGTGCTTAATTTCGATTTTGTATGCTATAGTGAATGTCTTACAGTGCTAAAACCCATTGTATGTTATTTTGGTGCTTTTTCAAAAGACATTGAAAACCATAATGATATTGAAGTAAAGTAATATTCTATACTATTGGTTAAAATCACTATTGTTGAAATGCACAAAACTTATGTTAGGTAATTTTTAGCTTAATTGTATTTACCAGGGACAATAATAAAAATCTTTGCTTTGTTCATATTGCAAAATATTGGATATTTTAAACATTCTGTATGTTAAATAATTTATAATTGCATTTATTTCTTAGATGTAGCATATTTGTATGATGCATTGCTAAATATCCAAGTGATATGGCACAATATAAGAATTTTTCTCTATTTCAAGAGTTTCAACAAAGGTACTGAAGAGGATTTTGCATTTTCATTTGGAATGACTAATCGCTCCAAAAATGGGGGAAACCTTGACTCAGGTAGGGACCTGGAAAAGTAATATATTGATTTACATAGAATCATTTTATTGTAAGTATTGCCAGTTATTGAAAATTAAGTATTTTTTAATTTTTTGGAAAATATTATATTGATACCTTTGATATTAAGCCTATGTATAATAAGTAACAAAAATGATATGATGTTGGCAAATTTAATAATATTTACCTCTTTAATACCACTTGTCTCTTATCTTACAGATCCTGCTTTAGAAAATGTTAACTGTTTGCCTATGCTGGAGCAGGTCAGTTAAACAGAGTATATGGATATAATACTAGTGTTGTGGGAATAATGAAGTCAGCAGTAGCCAGGACCTCAGGAGAAGAAAGAAAATTTTGTTGACACTAGTAGACCCCAGAAGAGTAATAATCCAAAGTCTGAAGCATTGATTACAGAGAGCTTGTCTGTTTTTCAGAGTGGCAAATGGAAGTTACAAGAACGAGATAGGCTTTAGCTGAAAGTTATGGTACAGTGGGCATCTTGTGGTGAGCGTAATATGTAGCAGAGTTGTTTTTAGCACATTCACAGACATTTTAGTTTGATGAGAAATACAATTTAGCTGAATTCAGTGGCAAAAAATGTTTCTGCAGCTTTACTGAATAAAATGGCTGCAATTAGGTCAGGATTTCTGCTTAACTAGTAAGTAGACACTGCTTATTTGAAAAAGAAAACTTACTGAATTATTAGAATTGTGTATTTAATTGCTATTTGTGAACTCAGACATTTTTTAATAAAAAAATTCTTTTTTTAGGTTGATAATTCTGGCAGTTGCTACCATCAGGAGGGACTAAAAGACTCAGAATTTGAGGTCACATTTCCCATTTATATTAAATTATGTATAATTGGAGTATGATTTATTTGCATATTTTTTCTTGATTAAGGATTAATTTTAATTAATTTTTACAAATGCATTTGTTAAAGGCTTATTTCTGCTTTTTCTTTTAATGTTGCTGAAATACTAGATCTATGTATTTTCCTGAGGTATAAAAGCATCTAGTTTTTTAAGGACAGTTTAATTTTATTTTTTTTATTTTTTATTTTTTTTGGCAGAACTGGGGATTGAACTCAGGCCCTTGCGCTTGCCAGGGAAGCACTTATTCCACTGAGCCATCTCCCCGGCCCCCAGGACAGTTTAATTTTAAATCAGTTAAGAAAGAGAGAAAGTAATGGGTACAGTAGGTTAAATGGATTGAGGCTCAGGCCAGTATTTTCCAAAATAATCTTTGAACTAATAGATAAAATGGATTGTTTGGGAGATTTATTTTCTAAGGCACTTGATATCTTTTTAAGTGAAGGAAATTTCAGTGGCCTGATAAGTGCTATGCTTATTGCTGTGATTATTGTATTACAGCATTTAAAAATAACCAGTTCAAATGTTTTGATAACAAACATCTGTCAGCCAGCAGAAATTTTTTTTTTTAAAGGCCTGGAGGGTGGATCTTAGTAGTAGACCATTTTGCCTAGCATGCAAGAGGTCCTGAGTTTAATCCCTAGCAACTGTAAAAAACAAAATATAAAAACCTAACCAAAAAACCTCTCAAAAAACAAAACCCCAAAACACAGAAAAAGTCTTCTGGCATTCACAGTATAAAATGTAAGTAAAATGGCAGGAAATCTAAAAACCTGATTCAATGAAAGTTATGTTTTGTACTCAGTATTATTTTTGTCATTTTCAAATTTCATGTTCTTGAGGTTAACCCTCAGACATTTCAAAACATTGTATGTTTTGTTAAAATTTAGACTTTTTTTTGTAGATTTATTTTAGCTTTTACCTAGCCAGATTCTTTCATTAAGATGCTTCTAACATAGGAAGCTCATTTCAGTCATTTAAATTTATTTAGCAAAGTATAATTGGGATCAGTAACTTAGTGAAGTAGCTAATTGTTTTAGTGTTTATTATTTTGTCTTTTTGAGCCAGGATCTCGCTATGCAGTTTGGGCTGGCCTTGAGCTCACCTTGTAGCCCAGGCTGGTCTCAAACTTGCAACGACCTGCCTATCTCAGCCTCCCAAGTGCTAGGATTACAGGTGTGTGTGCCACCATGTTCGGCTCCTGTTTTAGTAATTTAACTTCACTTTGTTGAGAAGTCTAACATATTTATCCAAGGGTGGATTAATTTTTTTTCTCTCCTTACTAATAAAAGTTGGCTTTAATTTAGTTTTTTTTTTTAATTTAGTTTCTTAATTTGAATAATGACTGAACTGTGGCAGTGGAGTCTTTCTGCTTTAGTAATTTAAAAGAATTAAAGGTAGCTTTCAATTTTATTAAAACATAAATTGAGACAGTTGATTACCATTAATGTGTATGTACATGGGAAGCTGTAGTTGGGTTATGATTTTGGGTAACTAATACCTGCAAGGATGTTTTAACAGAATTCAGAGCCAATGAACAGAATGTACTCAAAGCTGTATAAGGAAGCTGAAAAGATTAAAAAGTGGAAAGTGAATGTGGAATCTGAACTGAAGCAGAAAGAAAATAAGTTGCAAGAAAACAGAAAGATAACTGAAGCACTACGAAAAGCCATTCAGGAGCTTCAGGTATAATAAAGTTTTGAATTGCAGTAAATAGAATATTTCAATGTAAATTGGGCTAATTTATTTTTATAACAGAGACTTGAGGGACAGTGGTTTTAGAGGTTTCATTGATAGTAGTTGCAGTTTAGTAATGAGTGCAGAAGACAAGACTACAAAACTTAATGTAAATGATTAGGGAAATTATTTAAATGAAGCCTGATTTAATGATGCTAATTTATTGAAGTAAATTTTATTTCAATTCGGATATAAATCACTGTTGTATTAGAATGTTTATATGTAAAACTGAGTTTGAAACTTTAATTTTGATTTATAGCATAAAGTAATAAACATGTTGAGAAAATGCAGACAGATAAAACCACTTCAAAAAATAGTATTGCATTAAGATATTGTTGAAATCTTTTTGGATTATCAGCAAATTTTATTTTAGATTGCTGAAAGTGAGACCCATATTCTTATGGGAAATTCATAAGTTGTGACAAAAGAAATTCCTTTTGTATAGAAAGAGAATTCTTATAGACTATTGTAGCATGTTAGTCAAGAAATCTTAATGTTTATAGTTGTATTTATTTTACTAAGCAAATTGTGCACTGTTCTGTTTTGTAAATTAGTTTGAAAATGAAAGAGTAAGTTTGAAATTAGATGAAGAAATTCAAGAAAATAAAGACTTAATAAAAGAGTAAGTAATTTAATGCATTTGTTCTTTCCAAATTTATTATTAGTTTTTAAAAATTCAGTACTTTCTGTTATAAGTAGTATTCTGCATGAGGGTTATGGAAACAAAATACATAATTCATTATGCATTCTTCCATTTGGCTAACTAGGTGGTCTATTAACTTCTGATATTTTGAAATGTCAGGTATTAGGAAGAATTATTACTTGGTATCAAAAAAGATACCTGTTAACTCCATATCTACAACAGCTTTATATGTTGTCTGCACTTCTGCTGCATCATAGCCATTTGTAAAAATAGAGCACAGCTTAGGTCCAGGCTTATTGTCACCCTAAAGTTGCTGGTTTTGCCAGTGTAACAATCTATTTCTACAGATTAAGATAACTGAAAAAGATAACTAAGTAGCATAAGTGTTTACCTGGCATACATGTGGTCCTGAGTTTGGTCCCTGGTACCAAAAAAAAAAAAAAGGTGTATTTGCAACTTCGACAATGCAGCTAAAGGTCTTGTTATTCATATAATGCTTGCATAATCAAAAAGTTATTTATTTTCATTTTGAAGGTTAGACATGTAGAACATTTTAAGAAAAAGCTTAACCTGTCCTTTTATTTGTGCATTATAACCTGTGTTCCATTATTTCTTTTTTTTTTTTTTTAAGTTTTATGTGTGTGTGTGTGTGTGGCCAGCTCAGCCCACCAGGGGGCGGGGCTGGCTGGCATGTGGTGCTGGGGGATTGAACCGCGGTCCCTGTGCTTTGCGAAGCTTGTTCCAAGTAGGTGCTTTAGACCACTGAGCCATCTCACCAGCCCAATTTCTTGAAAGGTTATAAATAACACTTTGGGTAGAACTTTAAGGAGTTTTCACTTTAGCTTACAGGGAGGCAGTTACTAAATTACCTTTGCTAATAGTACTTGCAGTCTATTTTCTGTTTTTCACAGTCATTTGTGTTTGATATATGATGTGTCTTAAAAATTTAAAAATTTTAAAATTTCTTAAATAATCATAATATACTTCATAACTTTTGCATATGGTTTTGGTTTCAGATCAGATTACATTTAGGCAAATATTTTTCTTTGTTGCAGGAATAATGCTACAAGACATTTATGTAATGTACTCAGTGAAACCTGTACTAGAGCTTCAGAAAAGATGAAGAAATGTAAATATCTTGTTTTATGTGATTTCATCATTTTATTATTTACTTAGTGGCAGGGGCACAAAGACAAATATTTTTTCATTATTTGGAATTTTGATTTGAATAAGATTTATATGCCTCAGACAGTTTCTATAAGTAGTAGATCGAGTCTCAGTTCTTTGAGTCTTAGGTTGTCAACTTTTAGAAAACATTGGGCATGGAGGTACATGCCTATAAACTCAGCAGGGGAGGCTGAGGCAGGCGGGCTGCTATAAGTTTAAGGCCAGCCTGGACTACATAGCAAGACCCTGCCTGTCTCAAACCACAAAGTAATGAATCTTAAACAACCAAAAAAGACAATGTATTTAACTTGGCACTTATGATTAATCCCTATTGAGTTAAAGTATAAAGAATAACCAGAAAATTTAATCAGCACAATATATAGCCATGTTTGTAACAAATAAGGTGGAGGAATGTGATAATGTGATGGGAATCATATACTATTAAATGATGTTTGGTTAACAATGAACTACACACAAGACATTGGTCTCATAAGATTATAATGGCTGTTGATGTAGCTTAAAGGTACAATGCTTGGCTAGCATGTGCTAGGCCCAAGATTCTATCCCCTGAACTGACAAAAATAAAGATTATAATGGAGCTGAAAAATTTCTCTCACCTAATGATGTAGCCTTTATAATATCATAGCACAATGCATTACTCATGTATTTGTTGTAATATTGGTGTAAACTAATGCGCACTACCCTTTGAGTGAATGTGTGGTATATACAATTATGTTCAGTACATAATACTTGATAAACAACTATGTTAACTGTTTTATGTATTTACTATGCTGTTTTCTAATCGTTATTTGAATATACTCTTTATAAAAAAGGGATAACTGTAAAACAGCCTCATGCAAGTTCTTCAAGAGGCATTCTAGAAAAGGCATTGTTATTATAGGTAACAGTTCCATGTGTGTTATTGCTCCTGAAGACCTTCAGGGAGGACAAGATGTAGAACTGGAAGACAGTGATATTTATGATCTTGACCTCTGTAAGGCTATCACATGTGTGTTTTTGTTTTGGTTTTTAACAAGTTAAAAATATATATTTTTTTCAAATTTTTACTTATTTGATACAAGGTCTTGCTATGCAGTTCAGACTCCATAGTGATCCTCCTGTCTCAGCCTCCCCAGCACTGGAATGACACCTGGTTTCAGGGTCAGCATGGGGAATCGAACTTGGGTCCTTACGCTTTACAAATAGGCACTTAGACCACTAAACTATCTCCCCAGCCCTAAAATACATTTTTTGTACAGTTATGCAATTTTGTATTGTTTACGCTGTTATAAAAATATTGAAACCTGTAAATAAGCTGTAGTAAGTAAAAGTTAATTTATTGAAGAAAGAATATTTTTGTAAGTTTAACATAGCCTATGTGCAGTCTTTGTAAGGATTGTATTCACTACCCACTGATTCACTGAATTACTTAGCGGCTTCTGATCTTTTAAGATCCATTCCTGGCAAGTACCCATGTAGATAATCCACTTTGTTTTATACAGTATTTTTATTCTATGTTCTGATACACAAAGCTTACCATTGTGTTGCAGTTGTTTGTAGTATTTGTATAGTGCTGTGCCAAATAGGTTTGTAGTCTAGGATCAGTAGCTCATCTATTCTAATTGTATAGTAGGTTATACAGTCTAGGTTTGTATAAGCACATATTATGTTGTTTGTACAGTGATGTAATTCTCAACATGTATCCTTGTCTTTAGGTGACACATGACTGTACTTAACAATTTAAGTTTTCAGGTAGCAGTAATCATGCCTCCAGTAAACCTTATTGGCTATGATACTGCTGATGTGCAATCCCAGTATTCGGGAAGCTGAGGCAGGAGGATCGTTGAGAGTTCCAGACCAGCTTGGGCTACAAAGTGAGCTCAAGACCAGCCTGAACTGTGTTGCAAGATGTGTCACAAGAAAAAAGACAAAAAAGAATATGGTTAAATGTTTATTTCCAAACTAAGGATTCTCAAGTTTCTCTTAATATCTTGAAGTTGTAATATATGTACCCAAGGGCATTCTTACTGTATCCATGCTTTGATTTTTTTTTAGTGGTAAAGTAGGAATTTTTTTCTTTTTGGTGAAAAAAACATTATTAGAATAGTCTTCGCTTGTCATTGATTTTACATAAGCTTTGCCTTGTTTCTGCAAGTATCTACTGGGAAATTCTACCTACTTGCTTTTTTTAGGATACACATTTTTTCTTAAAAAATCTTCATTCATATGCCACAGTACTGCTTCAAAATTTCGGCTTAAGCTTTATTCTATGCTCAGATTTAGAGACTAAAAATTTCTTTTTTGTATTTAGTACAGGGTATACAGGATCTCACTATGTAGATCTGACTCATAGTGATCCTCCTGTTTTCAGCCTTGCTAGCACTAGGATTACAGCATGCCCACTTTCAATCACTGGCTCAATGTGGCCTGGGGGTGGGTCTGGCAGAGCATGTCAGGAATCGATCCGATCCCTGGCTATTGTGCTCTGCCTAAGCAGGCGCTTCAGTTTGCTGAGCTATCTGGCCAGCCCAAGAAAGACTGGAAATTTCAACATTGAGAGCTTTACTAACTGAATTATGTAATCTCTGTCATTGTTTATTTGCTTATTTATTTTTGGGACTAGGTCTCACTATCTAGGGTGGGCCTGGGTTCTTATGTAGTCCAGGCTGTGCCTTGAAGGCACAGTGATTCTCCCGCCTCTGCCTTCCAAGTGCCAAAATTATAGGCACACTTTACTGCATCAGGGTGTTATTGATACAACCTCTTACTGTTGTTTTGAGAATTAAGTTAGTTAATGTAAAATGCTCAAAACAGCTCAAAAGTGGTCAATAAATGTTAGTCATTTAGTTTTTAGTTCTGTTTTTTTGCAACACTGGGACTGGAACAGATCCTATTGGAAAACTGGTACTTCAGCTGATTACTAGAGGTCAAATGTAGTGAGATGATAATTATGTCTGCTCGTGCTAGTGTTGGTCTTTGACCTAATCTTGAATAATAAAACCTTTACATTTTAAAAAAGGAGCTATACCTCCAGTTCTTTCAATTTGTGATAAGGTCCATTAACTTCCCTAAGATAGTCTAGAACTTGCCATCTTCCTGCCTTTGCCCCCTCATTTTTTATGATAGGTGTTTACTACCATACCCAATTTGACAACTTTTATTTTCTATCACTAGGTTCTTTATTCTTAGTTTCTACTTAACAGTATTTTGCTTTCTGGAAATATGTAAACCTTCCAGAATGTAGCTTCCCAGTACCAGCTTGTTTACCTCATTCCATTATACGAATATGAGAAAATGGAGGATAAAGAAATGGTTCGGGATAGAAGATGATAAGTTGACTGTCTTGCAGAAAATAAACTGCCAGGCAGATGGGCTGCTAGTTCTTTCCTCTGTTTTGTACTTAGGTAAGTTTTTTTTTTTTTTTTTTTTTTTTTGCGGAACTGAGGATTGAACTCAGTCCTTTGTGCTTGCCAGGCAAGCGCTTATTCTACTAAGCCATCTCCCCAGCCCCTTAGCTAAGTTTTTGATGAGTTGATGGGAGTTTGAAGAATCTTTTACTGTTTTTAGGTGCTCTTAAATGACATGTCTTGAAGTACAGATAATTAAAAAAATCATAAAACTTGCTTTATTAGTGTAAGTACCATCTAGATTCTTGCCTTAAATTGTTGGCCAGTCTTTTTGTGATTTTATTCATTTACTCACTTTTTTTAGTATGTGTAATGTTCTAGATGCTAAGGAAAAATAGTAAAAGATTTCTGTTATGAAATATATATTCAAGTAGAGATAGACTTGTTAAGTGAAGAAAAATATTAGGTGGTGATAACTAATGGAGAAAATATTTTGAGGTTGGGAGGAATTTTTTATGAAGTGACATTTTTTGCATTCTGAGTAAGGGGGTGAATTAGATAGCTGTTTGAGGAAAAATTTCAGGCAGAGGAAATAGTGCAAATTGTGAGGACCTGTTTCATATTTTTAAGTGACAGGCTATTTTGTGTATTAAATAGTTTTCATCCCTTTGTCTTCCTGTGCTCAATTGAAAATACTTTTAGCCCAATAATTTTGTTTAATTCCTGTCTGTCTTTAATTAATTGATGATTTAATTTCTGTACTATTTTCTGGTTAAATGTTGGTTAATGTTCTATAGTATTTGAAATTTAATTTTTACTTAAATGTTTAAGCTTTCATCGTAATTGCGTTATAATTTGTGTCCAATAATTGGAAGAATTCAGGATCTATTTCTGTGGCCTATTGTCCCATGGATTCTAGCTTTATTGCATATTCATGCAATTTATATTTTGTTATTTGATAGGTAATGATTTGAGACAATATTACTACATTTTTCTACATTTTGAATGAAGAGCAATTTTGGTTTATATCCTGGGCATTCAAATACATTATGTTGTGAGATTCTGGGTCCTATTAAAGTTCATGTGGAAATAGTTTTTTTAGCAGGTAGTCAACTTAGCTCTTGCCTTTTGTGTGTAGAGTTCAGTGTCAGTTTAATTTTGAAATCCTTTGTCTGCTGTAATGACTCTTCTTAGGTAAGGGATTATCTGGAGTTGAGTTTTAAACCCTTTGCTGTGTTGATTTCAGTGTGTCCCCAAAATGCGTATCTTCCCTTTTCCTCATGAGATTTGGGGAATATAAGAATTATACAAAATTAGGTAATCCCCTTTCTCCAGATGGGTTGCTCCCTCATTCTTTGCTTCACAGGTCATCTTCATCCCTTGGCCTCATTTGTTGTTTTTGCTCTGGATAGCTTTGGCTATACAGGATGTTTTGTGGTTCCATTTCAGGATTTTTATTTTTTGTCTCTGGGAATTAAATTGAATCTGTAAATCACTTTTGGATGATGTTATGATTTATATTTGGATGTCACCCACAAAGCCTCGTGCACTCATCGATGGGGTTACACTTATCAGTGAATTAGTTAGCTGATAAGTTTACAGCTAAGTGTGTTTTGGGAGGTGAAGCCTGGTTGGAGGAGATGGATGCTAGGGGCGTATTCTGGGTCTGTCTTGTCTATTCCTCCCTTGCTGTTTCCTGACTGCCATGCATAAGGAAGCCCTCTCTGCTATTCTACCTTTTCTTGGAACTAGCTGATTAGAGACTAAACCTTGTACAAACCGTGAAGCAAAATAAGCCTGTGAACCAACAATAAGTTGTGGGTACTGGGTATTATGTCCCAGTGATGAGAAAGTAACTAAAGTTAGGCAGTTTAGATATTTTAAAAGTAATAATTCTTCCAATCAATGAGTATAGGGTGCCTTTCCACTTTTTATATATATTTCACTTTGCTTCGTCAGTGTTTTTCTAATTTTAATAATAGGGATCTTTTACTTGGTTAAATTTATTCCTAGGTATTTTTTTTTCATAGCCATTTTTTTTTAACCAAGAAATACTGTATTAATGTCTGTTGTGTTTATTTGGTCAGTTTGTAGTACAGTTGAGTCCTGCGTTTCTTGATTTATTTATTTTTTGGATACTGTTGTCCTCTGATGAAAGTCTGGTGTTAAAATCTTAATATTTTTATTGGTATTATTGCTATTTTTGTGATGCTGAGGTTTGAACTGAGAAAGTCTGTCTTTCCCTTTAGAACATTGCTGCTATGTAAGAACAAGATTGCCCTTTGTATTTTGTACTGTTGTTGTAATTGCTCTTTAGGTTCAGGAGTTGTTTCATTAATTCTTTCAGATTTCCTAAGTAGAAAATAATACTTTGTGCACAAAGACAATTTTCTTTCTTTTCAAGTCTATACCACTATTTCTTGTCTAGCTTTGTTAACTAGGATTTTTAGTAAATGTTGAAAAGGAGTGATGGCAATGGTTAAACTTCTAGTTTCTTACTAAGTATGATGTTAACTGTAGCTTTTTTAAAAAAAATAGATAAACTTTATCAAGTTGAGGTTGGCCTCTATTGTTAGCTGAGAGGTGCTTTCTTCCTTTTTAAAAACATAGATGTTGACTTTAAAACTTTTTTTTTTGTGTGTGTGTGCAGGGTCTCTATGCAGCTGGGACTCATGCTGATCCTCCTCTTTTCATTCTCCTTGCTGCTGGGATTACAGGTGTGTGCCACCATGCCTGGACTCCATCACTGGCTCAGTGCGCCTGGGGGCCGAGCTGGTATAGCATGCAGTGCCAGGGATTGAAGCCTGGCCCCTGCGCTTGCCTAAGCAACTGCTTAGTCCATGGAGCTATTTCACTAGCCCTAATGTTGGCTTTTTTTTTTTTTAATGCATCTATTGGTATGACCTTGTAATTTTTTTCTTAGCCTGTGATGTGATGGACTATAATTAATATATTGAATTGGCTCTGAATACCTGGGATAAATCCTACTTTATTTGTGATGTATATGTAATTTTTGTTGTCCTGGGGATTGAAGCCCAGGAAGTTCTGAGATGAATCCCTAGCCCTTTTTAAAATTTTTTTTTTGTATTTTAGGGAAGGGTGTACAGTGTTAGGGTCTCACCACTAGATCCAGCTTGTAGTGATCTGCCTGTTTAGAGCCTCCCAACAGCTGGAATTACAGGTGCGTACCACCATGCCCAGAGACTCAATTGCAGTTTCAGAGTGCCTCGGGAGCTGGGCCAGCATGGCAGGCCTGAGGATTGAACCCCTGGCCCCTGCTTTAATCTGCTCTAGCCCTTTTAAATTTTTTTTATTTTTTTTTTAATTTTATTGAGAAATAGCAATGAGACAGTTTCAAAACTAATTAGTAGGACAGTTTGAATAATTCATTGCATATTGTTGTCTTTGTAATGGTTATTCATAGTACAAGATGCAGGGGCTGGGGAGATGGCTCAGTAGAATAAGTGTTTGCCTAGCGACCACAAAGGCCTGAGTTCAATCCCCGGTTCCGCCAAAACAAAAAAAAACAAACAAAACCCCCCCACAAAACCAAAAAAACTTCTCATTGAATTAAGAGAAAGTAGGTGTATATCTATCCTATTTTGCATATACAGATAAAAAATGTTCCTTCATTTATATCTCCTTTTTCTCCTATCCTATTTTGCATATACAGATAAAAAATGTTCCTTCATTTATATCTCCTTTTTCTCATTTTTTTTTTTTGTTTGTTTTTGTTGGGGGCCGGCCCCCAAGTGCCTGCTTAAACAAAGCAGTCAGCCTCTGGCATTTGTGGTTCAATTCCCGCATACTCAAGGCAATCCAGACCAGCGCTGGAGGCAATCTAGAGCCGCCAAAAAACCCCCAAAAACCAAAA